GCCGACGCTTACCCGTGCCTGGGTGAGCGGCGGCCGCTGGCATGGTGCCGTCGGTAAAAATGTTTCCCAACTCAAGCACTGTCAAACTCACCACTCAGAAACTGGGACCAAATGTCTGGATTTCTGCTTGGACTTGGAGGAAAATGGATTATTCTGCCATCCTTGGTTTTTAAAACAGCATTGTTCACTGTTATTATTATTATTAAATCGGCGCCTTCAACTGCAACTCAAAGTAAAATTGCATGCGTTTTCGGCGACAGTGGTATGTATGGTGGTGGCAACAAAAAAAAAATAAAAAAAAAATTAAAAAAAAAAAAAAAATTAAAAAAATTAATAAAAATAAAAAAAATAAAAAAAAAACAAAAAAAAACCATGGCGTCCGAATACTCGAGTATTCGCTTGTAAACATAGGAGTGTACTCGGGTACCTCATTACACTGTTGTGCACAGCCTTACTAACAGGTACATTCTAAACCTAAACTATTTGATCATCATTAAAAAGGGCAGAGGGTTGACCTCTTTTTTTCCCTTCAAAATAGAAGATTGTAAATACTTTTATTGTACTGGCTACACTCAGCATGTTATATTAAAGAGAAATTTCTGAAAAATTGTCACTCATAGTCCAGTCACTGTGCAAATTTCAATAGTGATTTTCAGGGAACGTAATTTCCAACGGTTTCTTGTTTTTAGTTTGTTTATATTTGTTTATATTATTTCTATATTGGGTGCGGGACAGTCCAAACTGCCTACCGACTGCATGAAAAACAATTCAGAATTACTTTAAGTCAGTTTACCTGAACTCATGATTACCTTTACAAGATAATCAATGGTGACACTATTACATTTATGTCACTAACTTTTGGCAGCATCTTACATGTATGTATGTCGTCCATTTTTAAAGCATCAATATCACTCAATTTCATCCTTCTAATGTAAAGGTGAATGTAGTACTTTGTATTGACACACAGTCATGGAAAACTAGACATTACAGTGATGATTATGTTCTTCACGTAAAGGTACAGTAATCCCCAACAAAAGGAATTCTCTCTTTATTCAACAGTAAGTAAAGTCCTATCCTATCATTGAAATTGAACACAATACATCTGCAAATGTAAACAAATCTATGTCATCGAACTCCCACGTAGACCAAAAAATAGTGTGTATTTTCAAGGATAGACAAAATAAAGAAAACAAACTACACTACCCAAAAGCTTGATTTCTTAGATAAGCTAGAGATAAAGTGATTCAAAATCAAAAATATTTACTTATACAGCCAATCAAATGCCATGATTTCAGTAGCTTCAGTAGGGCCCAGCTCTGATCAATAACAAGTTTCTTAGAAAAATTAATTCCTTATTAGGTATCATTAAGACTACATGTGCATACATGTATTTCATCATTGAAGCTACAGATGGGCAACACATAAAGTGTATGGATAGTCTGCTGAGAGCCAGAATGGTGCTAACACATGTACATTTACAGAGAGTTACCGGTAATGCCCTTCTGGCTCTATACAGTCGGTATGTTAGATGCTCAAACAGCTGAACAAAGCTCTCTTGTCCCTTGGTAATACAAAAAAGCAGTTGTAAATGTATGTGTTGTTTACCAGATTCAAACTTGAAGGAGACTACATCTTGTTTTTAAATTATCTAATAAGGTTCAGTCATCCATGCATGCTGTCAAACAACGACTCAGCATAAACAAAGTTATGCATTCATCCAGACTTATGTCAATGGATCACATTGGCTGCTAATAGGGGTGATTGTCCACATATATGGTAACTATTTTGCAAGAAGACAACAACAGTTAACTAATAATGAATGCTTTCAAACAACATTCCCTTTCCGATAAAGTTATGCATTCTGAGCGCTCCGAGTCAATAAATCAAATTGACTGCAAAAAAGGGGCGATTCTCCACACATGGATAGGGAGAGGATTTCCTTACATTCTCCTCCTAGGCTATGCTCTCATCAGAGAGGGAAATTAGGGATATGGAATGATAAATTTCTCTGTTCCCCTGCCTGTAATATGAGCGCAGTTGTCAAGTCTCTTTTCTTTCCTTCTGCAGTCTCCTAGGCCCGTAAGACTAGCAACATCATATCATCCCACCACAAAGCACCATAACTAAATACTAATGGACACTCCACCCCACTTGCCTGTGCTATCACAATGTAGGATGAGAAAGATGATATTAATAATTTCCTGGTCTTGGGGTATTCAATAGAAATATGTAACTGGAATGTAAATGGATGTCTAGTATTAAGTCTTTCACATGACTTCCTTGTTCTTGTTCCTGGAATCATAATGAAACTTTAAAGAAGCTTGAAGCATGAAACTTTATGTAGCCTATGTAGGTATAATTTTGTTCTTATTTTTATAGGTAAAATATAAGGACAGGCTTAAATCAATTCAGGGTGCAAATTGCTTGAAATAATCATGTACATTTCTCATCAAAATTGGAAAAGAGACCGTTGAAAGATGTCCACAGAGACAGCTTCTTTGTTCCTCCATACCATCAACTCTGCTGCCCATTGGACAGCAGGATCATATGAAGACCTCAATACTGATTCAGTTATACTTGAATCAAATTCAGATTTTTATATTGTCAACATCACTGTCTAACAGAAAAAGACCAATCAATCAAGATTTGCCACATAAAAAACGACATACTACAGGCTTAAAAATATGAAGAACCAATTGAAGATGTTTTTCTGTCAACCTATCTCTCAAATTGTAAGGTAATATGTGAATGAGCCTTTATTGTCCCGTTATATAAGTTCACAAGTCAGGAGGAGGGGGTCTGTCCCCATAGACTAAACAACTCCATGGTTGTCCGCTCTGTAGTTGACCTTGGCGTGACCTTGATCTCATTTACCAATATAGCATGGAGGAGATTCGGTTAGGAATTTGGTGGCTACATGGAAGGATGAAGGATGTTATGCGCTTCAATGGCGCTCGCAGCCGACTTCGTTCACATCCCTGGCCATGTTCACATTGCCAAGAAATCTTTGGTGACTTCAAATTGAACGTCGTCAGCTGCTGCTCTACATTATCTCCTTAATTTGATGACCTACTTATCTTGAAAACCACAACTTGCGTCAAAGAGGAAGCTCTAACAGAACTAATTATCAATATTGTTAGTTATTATTGCAAAATGAAAATTGTAGTCATATCAGCTTACACAAATGAAAGGGCCAACGACGGTTGGGGTCACATTCCTTCTTTTGTTCTCTCTTTTGAGAGTCGGTAATTTTTGGTTGCATTTGATCAGCACTAATTAAGGGGAAATCTTCTACAATTGCCAATAGGACAACCTAAAATCCCACCAATTTTTTCAACATTGAATTTGAAAATCACAGCTCCATGCAGCCTTCTCTATTCAACATTTACCATGTCATCTTTCTGAATATACAGGATATGCTGAAAGTGAGGAATATATATTTGCATGTACTGCATGCCTGAGTCAGGACATTAAAATTTAGCTGAATTATAGCTCCGTGATATGTATGCAGACAACATTCCTCTCCACAGATACATAAATCAGTAGATACAGGCAGTAAACATGCCCATCATCGTTCGGAGTGCATTAATTCATCCGCAATTGGACTCCAGCCTGTAGGCCGTGCTGCATGGAAAAGGCATCATTATTTCTCTAGTGATTTCAGAATATGAATTCATCTTTATGGAAGATGCCAGTCTATGTGGCGAAACCTATGAGTAGAATGCTTTTGAGGGAAGTCAATGGCATGTTTGGTATAATAGGAGGGACTAATCCAATTGTGGATTCACTTCCTAATAGTACACAACAGAACTCTCTCTCTCTCTCTTGCTCCTCTTTTCCCTTTTATTTACACTTCTTTCTCCATCTCTTTTTCTTAATTCTCACATTCGTTATTATATGTTTATTCCTCAATAAGTGCCTTAATTCCATACTTCTCCTCCTGTCCTTCATACAATGATTAGCCTTTTTGAAGTTACAGTGGTTCCATTTTCTTAGTTTCTACTTTTAATTTTTAGACTCTTGTACTTATCTACCTCACTTGAAAACAATCTACTAAATAACGTGTGCACTAGCTATCCCTGTAAAAAAAGGCATTATCCAACCCTTTTACATCTGAATTGTCTGAAGAGGCAAAGTCCCATTATTAAAAGTGGTCAGTTGTTATCATCAGATTACATAATACAGTGTCGGACTTACAAACTTTGGAGACCACAACTTCCGCATAGACATGAATACCCGTCTAACTTCCAGGTTGTACAATGTATTAAATATAGTAGTTAGCACCTGCTACATGGGGGTAATACTAATAGGGTCTGCCCTGGTATGCAATGTACAAGCTCCTGGCTAATTCTAATTGATCTAATTAACTAATTAATCAACATTCAATGCAGAGCTCTAGTTTCATACAGGTGTAGCGTAAATTAAAAACCATTATCACAAACTGCTATGCAATTACTTGTACATGTATGCCTACTAGGTACTTGTATAATGAATTGTTGGCTGCCCGTAATAAGGCCATTACTGCCACTGACAATACATAAGGCCTGTCCTCATCAGCTCGAGATTGCCAAATATCCCACTATTTGAACTATCCCGATCGCAAATTATCCAGTTAATTTGCACTTTTCATCAGCCCGAAGTTGCAATAAGCGGGATATTTGGTCGAGATAATCATCCCAAGATATCTTGGGCTAGTTTGCATAATATTAGTCCGGTGCGTCTTCACCAGCTTGAAGACTCGCACTCTGCGGGAATGCTGAGCAAAATATCTCGAGCTCGAGTTTCAAGGTCAAGTCTCGAGCTGATGAAGACGCGATTTGTAACTTCGGGATTATTTGCCAAATCAGAAATAGCGGGCTATTTGGCAATCTCGAGCTGACGAAGACAGGCCTAGTGGTATAAGGTTATTCGGCCTTCTAGTGGACAGCCAACAGTATACACTGGGAAAATGGGGATGTTTTGGTAGTATAGCAAGCAGGATGAATTTGTGTTTTGCTTACCCTGGTAGCTTTCAAGGTTCTGATCATGAAGTCTTTGGTTACTCTTTGTTGGCCTATCTGTATATACAAACAAAGAAAATCATACTTGTATGAACAGATGGGTAAATATAACAGGTCTTAAAAATAGTGATTTTCACAAAAACCTGCAAACATTTAAATACAGTACATGAGTACATGGAGATACCAATTGCAAATACCATGTATTATGATGTCCCTCTGACTTACATTTACTTACTCGTTATTCAATACCCTTAATCTTTTGCATATATATATATATATATATATAATAGTATTCATACAATGTTTCACTAGTATAGATGATTTTAAACTCTTTCAAATAATATAGAAGTAAAATATCAGTGAGTAGGCTTGTAGCTTTCATCTGACAGATCACCAATTTATTTGTTGGATATTCAATCAACCCATTTGGTTAATATTGCATGTAATGGCATTCTAAATAGTTATATTTACAGAAAGATATAAACCTTACTTGTGTCACAAGTATATCTCCAAAACAGTGCTCCTCTCCTTCATCTACCCAGTACCGTTCACATTTGTGCTGTTGAAAAAGAAATGACATAACTTTATATTAATTACATATTACATTGAAAATCAGTGACGAGAGTTGATCCTCATATATGAGGTTACAACTGAGCTAATTTGAAAGGCTATAAGTAAAACTCAGTAAATTAGTGGTGTTGGTGGTGTATCATAGGTTTTGTAAATTCATGTCCATACATTTGACACAAATATATTACACTGCAATGACTGCATAGTTATGGATATGTTTTTAAAAATGACAAACAAATTTTATCTTTAAAAAAAAATAATCTCTGTACATTTCAAGAACTATTAAAAGATTTACACCATACCCATTTAGTCTTGCAACACTTCCAACCTAATTTGAGATGAAGGCTTTTTCCTTGAAGGTTTTTTTTTCTCTCTCTCTTTCTCTCTTTAAGTTTTTAATGCATCAAGTTATGGGTAAGGACTTAAATCTATCACCACTGCACCGTTTTCAGCTAATATCTGCATCAAACCATGAACAGCCGCTTCATTTCTTCCATATAAGCGCATGCAAGAAGCAACTTTGCATGGAGCGTGGCAATTCATTCTTAGCCTTCCTGGAAAAAAAAACTGTCAGGAGGCTATTTCTAGATCAAGTCCTCCTCGAGCTAATCTCCTGTGTGATGTAGGAATGCGCAAAGGTAAACAATACCCTGGACGGTGAAAGCGATCTGCCACAAGATTCTATTTACAGCTCGCAGATCCATGTGACTTGGGACGACACCTGCTAGCTATGCAGGTGCACCGGGAATATTCCATCAAATTGTAAAACAAAAACCTCGATGAGCCCTCTATAGACTGTATCATGAGCCCTCTTTTTCACATCAAAACTATATATAATAAACTCAAGCATAGGTTGACAGGTTCATCAAAAAACCAAGGCTGTCAAAGGAATAAAGCAAAGCTTCCTGTTTCTGACCCAAGGATATCACTATTAGAAACTGCCTACTCATGATATATCTACATATATGGACAAATTTAAGATAAGGGTACATTATTGGCACAGTTATGTGTTATAACGAGGAGTTTCGTATTGACGTTGAGGAAACAGAACAGTGTATGCTTTAACAATAATTGAATCTCATGAATTAAGTTGGTAGACCTCAAAACTTTTTGTCAGATTTATTTTATTTTTGTCGATAAATATTAATATCCTAAATGTTCCATGCTGCTGTTAATATATTTATTTCCTTTTGAACAAATAAAAGGTGAAAAAATATATTCTTGCTATTCGGTGGCTAGGAGGTGAATTCCCTACCTGCTCTGGAGTAATGACAAAAGCTATATTGTAAATTGCACCCATCCAATGAGATGCTGTCTGAAGTGAAAGTCTAACTTTTACACACTAAACACAAACTGACTACAATTTACAAATAAGGAGATATGAGCCTCTTACCCTTCCCAGCTCAAACTCATTGCAAGCCATGACAATGATTTCTGTATTGCATTCCCATAGCATCCTCCAAAACTCATTGACAGTGTGTGGGAGAGGGCCCTGTGCTGCGAGGTATGTATGGTCGTTGGCGGCACCCTGAGCAAATAAAAGGGAAAAAAGTAATGTGATACCAAAATTTGTGAAAAAAAGAAATTGTGTATTTTTATTTATTAATTAAGTTAGTTACAGCGTATGTGGTGGTTATTTTACCTGACTGCTAAGAAAGCATGAATGCTTGTTAGTAAGCAACCAGACGGCCGACCACTGGCGTACCTATGGGGGGGGGCAGGGGGGGCAGAGTGCCCCCCCCTGACGGGCTCCAGGGGAAAAAAAGAAAAAGGGGGAAAGAAAAGAAAAGAAAGGAAAGGAAAGAAAAAGAAAAAAGGAAAAGGGAAGAAAAAAAGGAAAGACAGAGAAAAAAGGAAAAAAAGGAAAGAAAAAAGGAAGAAGAAGAGAAAAGGGAAAAGAAAAGGAAAGGAATGAAAATGGGGAAATTAAAAAAAAAAAGACCATGGCCGTACGCACCAGGGGGGGGGGGCAGTTGACCCCAGATATTTTGAAAACGTACTGTTTTATTCCTGAAAATGTAGCGTAGGCCTATACCAAATCCTTCAATTCTACTTTTGAAAATGCAAAAGTTCCCTCATGATCAGTTCGGTCGATCGAACTCCCTTCACTCCTTTTGCTTTTGAGATTCTTCGAAAACTTTTAACGCATCTTTCCCCATCCCCCACCAGAAAAATATTCCGCATACGGCCCTGAAAAATTAAAACAAATGTAAATAGGAAAATATAAGTGATATAACAAATTCGAAACTCTTCGCTGGCGCGAACTGCTTGCTAGCCTATTTTGTATTAAATGTTTTCACTTGCTCGTCCCCCTGAAAAAAGAAAAGGATTAGTATTGCCTAGAAATTATTGTGCCTGCCCCGACGGGCCCCGACCTGCAACCATGGCAACAATAACACACAATATATGTACCAAATGTTACTAAAAGAAACTAATTCATTTTTCCCGCTCGCGAATAAAATGAATATACATTGCTTTGGAAACAATTGTGCCCACCCATGACCTGCAACAATATCATTAAAAATTGAAGAGTTTTTTCGCCCTCTCGCCAAAAAGGAATTGAATCGCGTTAAACGCGATTGCGTCCACCCTGACCTGCACCAATAAAAACAAGTGTATTTATTAATTTCTATTAAAAGAGAATTTTTTTTTTTGCTTGCTCGCTATGCTCGCTCGCCAAAATGGAATTGACACCGCTAACGTGCCCGCCCCAACCTGCAACAACCAGTTAATAATTATGTACCAAACGTTATTCAAAGAAGTTTTGGTGTGCTCGTGCTCGCCAAAACGGAATTAACACCACCTTAGACATGATTGTGTAAGCCCTGCCCTGCAACAAAAAAATCTGAAATTTATGAACCAATTATCATTACAAAAATTTTGCTCGCTCGCTACGCTCGCTCAAAATAGAAATAACACCGCTTTTAATAATCACGTCCCTGACATGGAACAATGAACCCAAGTTTTATGTACCATATTTTCCCTATAAAAGAGAAGTGATTTTTTTTCGCTCGCTACGCTCGCCAGCTCGTGGAATTATGTGCCCACCACTAATCTGCTATAATATCATTAAAAAGATAAATGTAGGGGGTTGCCTGCCCGCCAAAATGAGATTGACATTGCCTTAAACACGATTGTGCCCGCCCCCTACCTGCAACAATGAAACAAATTTTATATAGCAATTCATTGAGAGAAAGATGTATTTTCGCTCGCTAGCTAAAATGGGTATAAAATCACCCTAAACACAATATTGTTCCCGCGCCCTGCATGAGACAATTGAACCAAGTTTAAGTGGCAATTATTAAAAAAGAAGTGATTTTTTCTTGCTTGCTACACTCGTTTGCAAAAAAATGAAAGTAACGTCGCTAACAAGTGAATGTTCCCACCCCTAACTTGCAACAATACCAGTTTATATACCAAACGTTACTTAAAGATTTTTTTTTGCTCGCTCGCTCGCCAGAAGTGAAAATTAGCATCGCCTTTTTTGTTTGTTTCGGTCGCTTGCCCCCCCTGACGGAGTACCCCAGGTACGCCACTGCGGCCGACGGCTTTAGGTCTTCTCCTAGGGCCTGGTAATGAGGATTAATGCCTTACCAAAGGGCACTAGCAGATCGCCTTGGTTTCGAACCCGAGTCAACGGATTACGAGACCACTGCTCTACCGACTGAGCTATCGCGCCTCCTCACAATTATTTGAACCTTTTTATTCGGGATGAACATGTTCAGCAAAGGTATTGTTCATCATTTTTTTCCATCATGGTCCTGATTTCCAGATACAGATGTACTGACAATGTCAAATCAAATATACTTATAAAGTTTGTATGAATACAGTGTAGTGAAACCTACAATTAGATTGCAATTTACATCATTGTAAATACATGTACTTTGTACCATAACAAACCTATTACTACTACAAAAAATTATACATACATGTGCACATATAAATCAAAGAGGAAAACAATTGAACAAATGAACATGACAAGTCAACTGTCAATTACAAATTCAATTGGCATTTAGACAATTCATACAGTACATCCTGCATTGAGGAAACTACATTGTACATGTACAATACAAGTGGAATACACTCAATACATATTCATGTACATGTACATGTACATATATACATGTATATAGAAGGCCATGACAATCAAATACATCGAAATGAACTGTAATTACAAAAGTGATAGGAGCAGTAGAATGTTTATAGGCCTTTGTTTCACAACTCATACAAATTGAGTGACCATCTTTAGACAAGAGGCTTAAATGTACAAAGTTGGTAATGAAAATAAAAGTCTATTCAATTGTCTAATCCTTCAAAGTATTTCTTATTAAATTTCAACCAAACTATACTAGTAAATATGTAAACTGTATCATGAAAGATGTCCGGCACATGTACATGTTTAACTGACTGTTAAATATAGATTTGTTACGAAGTTTCAACAAAATTCAAAAGTAGCAGATAGTGTTGTTCTGTCTTTTATAATAGTCTGTGAGACTCAAATGCTACATACTGTATGTTTTATATACCTATACTTTAAAAAAAAAAACTCTTTTTAAATTTCAATACTTTTCCTTCTGTGATGCAAGTATAGAAAACAATGACTGGAGACAGCCTTAAAGGCTTTAAAAAAAAATTTAAGATTTTTTTTTCAAGTATACATGTAAGCCTAAATTCCTAAAAAAAAATCTTTTCATACTGTACAGTATACATGGACATGTACTTTTTATGAACATACAATTTTGTTTTAAATGTACACTTACATTTAATAACAGATAAATGATCAAATGTAATTCAGCCTTCCATCATAATCTTGTGTCTGCAAATTCATATTTTTGGCTGTCTACTTATTTACGGCTAATCTCCGATACTAAATATGGCATAAAATGCGTTAAAATTAGCACAAATTTAGCTTAGGAGGCAGGATGTACAAAATAGGGCTCCAATTGACGTCAGATTCTAGAGCAATTTCTAACATTTATTCCCATCACCTTGGTCTCTATTTAGAATGTGAATTCAAAATTTCAAATCTTAAAAACTTCAATGATTCTTTCCCTCTTTACATTATTTTGTCTCAAATTAATGACAAGCAATACCCACAAACAAAGTTTTGTTTGCAAAAAGCAGTGTGTACTTTGTAGGCCTATCTTTGTATCTATCTCTTTTTTTCTTAAACTAATTAACATGACTATAGCCTTGTGTTGTGAACTTCTTCATAGGTACAGTATATATCCAGAATTACAAAAGTATATTTTTGATCTCTCTTACTTTTACTGTGACTGTGAGTGTGTATTACCTTTAACCAAAACAAATTATTCCTTTCACATTTTACACCCATACAAACCGGTAATACCATCTCTGAGTGTCTGTTTATACAAACAATCCCATCAATAACATTCTCCATTTCCTTGTTTATATTGCAAGGTCTTTAAAATCTGATGAAATCAAATGATCTCTTTACATGAATTAACCCAATTATTATTATTTCTTTCATAAAAGCTATAAGGATGATAGTCTTATTTGTATTTTCACGTTGAAAATATGTTTTCCTTGAAGTCGTACATGTACGTCATACTCTTTAGTTATATAAACATGTAATAAACCAGGATTTTATTGACCAGAAAAACAAACACATTTTGACTTCCTACTACATGTACATATAATAGGAACCTAATGACCAAGTCAGTAGCCAGGAAGACTACACCATAGTTTGGACAATGGTTTGGCAGCACTTAACTTGATTGGCCAAGCATGACATGCTGAAGGTCTAAATTTGTGTAATTTTAGGATATGTTATCAATCATATAAATCAGCGAGTTTAAGTAAACAAATGACGTTAGAGAGAGAGCAATGGAATATGTAATGGTGCTATGCTGTAGGTCAGAATTCCCTGTAATGGGTGTGTTTTGGACGCAATTTAGTACATGCCCTACAAAACGCATTTGAAGGATAAAGGATTGACACTTCATTAGGTTGGCCCCTTGTGATTGACTGGTTGAAAATTTACTTATCTTTACTTTCTTCTTCAAAAGCAAATGCACTGTAAAGAATTTCCTCAACAGTAAATGTCTTAGAAATACATTAATTATATGTGTGCAGCAATTACAAGTACCGGTAGATGGGCAAAAACTTTACACTATTACATTTTTTCTTTTCTTATATTTTTTCAATCAATATTAGCATCTTCATTTTCAAGATATAAAAATATATATGAGCATGTACTGTACTGTAAATATGCTGAGACTTGAGATATTGACAATTAAATCTTACCTTAAGAAAATTTGCATTGACGTAATCCGAACCCTCTACGTTGTCAATCTGACTCAACAAGTATCTTGAATGATCAACTGCAAAAAGAAACCAAAAAAAAATCAAACATTATGATTAATAAACATTTTACTTTGAAGGGCACAACAAATTATAAGAACACTTTCACAAAATTTTGATATCATCATCCAAGGAAAAGCAGTGTCAGTAAAATTGTAAAATTTGAAACGATTTTTCTTCATTTTCTCTATTTTGAATACCTACTCATATTGCCTGTTCAGAGCTGGAGGGAAGTAACTTCATATTGCACTGAGTTAATGCCCTTAATCACAAAATGTCATGCACGGCACTGATATGTTTTGGAGGAGAAAAAAAACAGAAGGTAAAACAAAGGTGTTGGGGTATTGAATTAGAAATCAAATTAAAAACAACTTATAAAATGATAATAACCTATTGATAGGAAGATAACATTTACAATTTAAGCTTTCTTTTTAATGAATTAAGAAAAATTATTAGAAGGAATTCCATACAACACTTCAAAAACGGCAAATTGATTTTTCTACAACCCTGTACATGTACATGTCTGGATGTACAGTAACTTTCCATTCATGAAATTTCATTATGTTATTAGTATTAGAATTATGAACGTCATGGTTTTAAGAAAGCATGTTCATTGAATAAGGAGGAAGACTACAAGAAAAATATTGATGCATAATTTGCAGCTATTTTGAACTTGTCATGAACTGTCAGAGTATGAAATTTATAAAAACTTGCATTACAACAAACTGGTAAAGCTCTTTTCTGAAGTATTGTAAATCCTCATCTACATGTCTACAAATCTTCTTCTTTTTTTTAATGGCCAAAATAAAGAGAAATCAATTTTGCTGGTAACACTGACAGAAAGGTATAACTCTGAGACAAACATTCCAAAGTCTATTTCATTGAATGCTTTTGTCATGAACACTCGATTTCAATGGTGTCAATGTGTGGTAAAGGCATTCAGCTGGAAAATTGATGGGAATTTACCTTCAGGTTTGCTACCAATGGCTACCAATGTACAAAATATGTCCAATATTTTTCATTCATCTGAAGTACAAATAATCACAACAATTTAGTAGATGGAAAGGGAAAAAATGAATTTGAAGTGTTTGAGTGAGTGTTTACTGTTAGTCAGTAAAAAAAGTTTGAAAACTTTACTTCCTCTTCTTCTAGATTATCTTCAATATCAGGCACAGATATAATTCTTCGCAGAAATATCTTACTAAGTCAGTTTTAGGTTCATGTACCAGCCATATTGAATTGTGTGGGTTCCAATCCCACCGCTGCCATCAGTACAAATTATTATATATAGAAGAAGGAAGTCTACCCTGATTTCAAGTTTTAATAACAGAAAAACAAAAGAAGAATGAACATATTGGGGACAGTTTGAGGAAAATCTTATACAGGATACACCCCAAAAATATAATATCTTTCATCACATTTGCTTTAATACTTCAATCATCTATTTCTTTCATGTTTTTACTTTTATTATAACTGATGTAATTGCAAGTTGGACTTTCCCTTTATCATATATGATTGCGAACATTTTATTTGTGCCAACTAAGATCCAGCCTAAACATAGCTAATGAAAATGCAAACATAAGACAATAACAATCTCTGATCCATGCCGAATAAAAGAAGAACACATACAGTATACATGTATATATATACCATGAATGTTTTACTATCTTACGAAAGAGAAAAAGACCATTTAAGAAGGATAAGATATATACTGAATTTCCTTTTGAAGGCTTATTCCAATAACTGCCTATTTTGGTAGGAGTATAATTATTATACTGCTTATTTGTGGTTAGAGCAAATGTCTCGATCTCTTTGGTCAGCTAGATACATGTAGACCCAGTGGGAGGAAGTAGTAGACAGTATGCTGTCATCAGGAATAAATCCAAACACAGCTGGCATGAAATGTTTGGGATTCCTACCATGTAGATTAACAAACCTATTTCTTTCATCCCTGTAAAGTGATTTCTCTGGCCTGGTGCAATGGATAATGGACTGTGCTTGTCACACATTGGAAACATGCAATGGAGATCTGCTGTGCTAACCGAGACTTCAAAATGTTGTGAAATGTATTTTTTTTTGGTACTCTTCACCTCAATACCTGCAAGCAACTGTCTTCCAAAAGGACCTACAGTTGATATTGACACTGTAAAATTATTGATGACTCAAAGTGTTGTTCAAATATATCTCGACTACATAAAGTCATTTGGACAGTATGAAAAGTAATTAAGCAATTAAGGAGAAATTGCAGTTGATTAATTGAGTATTAAAGGCGCTATTGTACAGGTATCTACATTTTGACATGCTCGTAACAGAATTTTCATTGTTTGTCAATTTGTCCTAGAAAGTTGAAAATATCCCTGAAAGTCTGAAGAATAATTGAACAAGCTTGGTAAGTTACAGGAAAATTTAATGTTAAGTTTCAATGAGAAGAATATTTAGAATAATAACGAAATCTGATTTGTACCAATAATTTTATTAAAATTATTAGAAAGAAAGAAAAAAAAAATCCATATATCACAACCAGGGAGAATTTCATCCTAGTCAAGCGTCGCTTATGATGGCAGTCTCCTGCCATTTTCCACAGATAGTTAAAAAATTACTTTTAACAAATAATAATATATTATAGAAATATGAAGTTTGTTACATGTGAATCACATTTTTTGCATATTTGCATTATACCTTATGTTTTCTTTGTTATTGAATTTAGAACAATACAAAAATAACATAAAATATAAAATCAAAGGTACATTGTACATGTACAGTATTTCATACCTCTGTCACTTCGCATATAATCTTCCTTCCAATTTTCTTTCAGGCTTATAGACTATTTTACTGATCATGAACTATTAAAGAAAAGTTATTCATAGTTCAAAATCATAAAGAAATTTTATAAACTTACATGGAAGAATATCTTTGTATCTATTTTTCCTCATGTTGACATCACTCTCTCCTGCTGATGTTGGATAGACCTTCTCAGTTCTGTACCTTTGTGAAATCTGCTTCAGGTGCTGTAATTCAGAGAAACAGTGGATTGACAAATTAATCACAAAAAAAATAAAAAAATTAAAAAAAAGTTGGTTTCAATCTTAAGGGAAATACTTACTTTCAAGCAGGGAAAAGATCGAGAAACATTTAATATTTATTTTATTTTCATCTCCATACTTTCTTTTCAGATCGTGAGGGGAAACATGAGTTATGTCATAGACCTCATACTTCATTGGGAAAAGTACAGTGTATATTTCTGAAATATGCCATGTCTGTACAAAAACATTCAATCATTCATGATGACAGGCATGATATACATTCAAGGAGGAATAATAGTTCAAATAAAAAGGTCCATTACATGTCCATTTTCAAAGTTAAACTAACTACCACACCTTAAAGGCTTCACACATAATAGCATAGCTGTAAAAAGCACTAATGATCCCTTGTTTACATTACACTGGTTTCCAATCTATTCGTTCAATTGAAATAGCTGACAATAGTATTGTCTCAGTAACAGGATCCCCTGTACAATGAGAGGACATAATTATTAAAGAGTTATTCAATATTTAAAGGGGATTTGAAAGTATTTTTCTACTTCCTTGAATGCTTTTCAAAAACATACATCCTGTATGGTCGAATTTGAAGCATGTTATAATCAAATGTATCAGTGAAAGCTTTACAGGAAAATTTTACTTTTTTCTGGTGCTTTGCATATTACGAAATAAAGAAAATTATTATCTACAAACTATTTTTCAAAAATATTTCTTGCCTCTATTTAAACAAAATTGTATCCAACCTTAGATTGCTTCATGGCCCAAAATAAGTTTAAGAGAAGCTTAAGTTAAGATTAGGGGGAAGGACTGGAAGGTGAATTAGTCTTTCTTTCGAAAGAGACAGCTGACAAAAGTTTTCCCTCAGCACTGGATGGATACTCAGCTACCCACTTCCCACTGTAAGGTTCCCTTTTCTACACTGAAAACATTGACATTTCCCCTGTGCAGATCCAGGGAAATTCCCCAATTTGGGCACATCCTTTCCTACATTGTAAGTGCTCTATGGATACAGTGTACATTTCCTGGAATTTGGTAACATCTGCAAGCAAATTTGTGCACAAATGTACATTATATTCATGCATTCTTCATAATCTATGCTAACTGTAAAAAACATAACTATTACCGGTATACAAAACTATGTTCCCAGAATGAAGAATCCTATTCAATAATGAAACCGATTCAATAACAACTTTTATGACTTTTCCTCTTTCAGCTCTCTTTACTTCAAACTTCAAATGAGCTTTCACTTTTTACTCTTATCTATAATAGACTCAAGTATAATTATAACTGAAATAATAAAACTATGTTCTCATTCAATTTATGATACTGATACAATAACAAATTTAATTCATTTCCTCTTTTACTCTCTTTACTTTACAGAAAAAAGTTAACACCCTTCTTAAACATGGCAGACATACTATGAACATTGTAACAGTACTGCAAAACCAGAAACTTTCAAGACATGAAAGTAACTTTCATGCACTGATTAGCATATCCGTTTTCAGGGCAAGAAGCTTTCACAAATTGCAAAAATCAAGTGTTGTGTCAATCTTGTTTCTAAATCATTTTGTGGCATGAAAGTAACTTTAGTGAATATAAACCCCTCTTGAAATTCAGGGACATTCCATGTACTCAATGCTTTCTGGTCTTCTTGGAATGCAGTACATCATGTACATGTACATGTAGTTACATATTGAATCCAATGACCCTTGTAATACATGTATATCTGTAAAGCTCTTAGAGACATCGTACATTTGTACACGATCGTAGATGTATAAGCGCTATATAAAAGCGAATAATAATATTATTGTTATTGCACATACTGTACATCATGCTGTATAACATGTGGCCAACATATTTGCACATTGAAATCCATTTGATTTAGATAATAATTTGTTGAACTTAAGTGGGTTTAACAACAAGAAACTGCAAACAAATATTTTATATTGATAAACCAAAGTTTTTTCTTTTTTTTAAGCGAATGTGCGATTGACCTGATTGAGGCCAAATCAAAGTTTTTCCTGCCAGTTTGACCATTTCTGGATTCTCTCTTTAACAAGAGAGGAAAAAAATAATCTTAAATACTCCCTAGGGTCAATCAATCAAAGACAAGGGGAAAAAGCTACAAAGGTGGACAAGGCCACTAAAAGGGGTACAAACTCAAAGAAATAGTAAGAGAAGGAAACAGGCCAGCTCTACAAGAGAAATGAAGATTAATTGATAACACTTCAAAAGTATCTTCTACCTACGTCAGAGTACCCTTATCTAAATTTGGTAAGTCCCTTTCTTCTTCCTCCCTGTGGAGTTTTTCCCATATTCCCTGGAGTTACGACACAAGAGATTCTAACATTGTAAAAGTATAAATACATCCAGGGTCCCACTTCACAGAATTTCAGGTCAGTTCATGTTTGCAAAATGAAGATAATGTTCTGCGTGTTCTTTACTTACAGTAAATCATTTTGCATTTATAAATACATCCCCAATATAATATTTCTTTCAGTAACTTATTGGATGCAATCAAGCAACTGTTTCATAATCTTAACGTTTATGAATGAATCACCAAATTAAATATTAATTTCTAAACTTTATAACAAAAACCCAATTACACACACATATTATGAAAGATAGAAAAACATGCAATTTGATGATAGTATGATAAGTATCAATACGGAAAAGCACATGGGGAGGGGGCTGATGTTAATTTGTGATTAAAAAAATACATACAAATATATGAGGGGATGACATCCAAATGTCATGACCAATTCATCTCAAATACCTGTAGATTTAGCTATGTATGATTATATCATGCAAATTTCTTATTACAGGTGTAGTTATTTTCCTAAATACTATATAACTAATAACTATCTGTTCAAAGAGTTATAAGATATTTCTATTTGTCCAAAGAGTTTCTCTAAATTTGCTGCTTTTATAATAAAAATAAGAATAGAAAGGGGCTAGAATTATCCTACCATTCAAAGGTAAGTCAACAACACTGTTAAGTATTTATACATCATGTATTTAATACCTGCTTTTGAAGTGGTAAATTATCATCTGATTCATGAATAGTCATGATGGGGAAACATGGCAATTGCTTACTTTTTGAAAGTTTAAAGGTAATACAAAGTTTTGGTATGGGGTCATGAATTTGGTTCAAATGAACATATTGGAAGCATGTGATGCAATCCTACAATATTCAGTGATCGTTGTTGCGGTTGAAATCGAGTCTAAAGTGATGAAATTGTAAATAATAAACTCTTCATGTTGTATAGTGCCCTCTCAAGGTCAAGATATTAATTTAGCTATAAAACAATGTTATTTGACTAAAATCGACCGATTTGCTATTACCGTTTGGAATATATCAGATCTACATATTCTGAGATTTGTAATTTTGTATGGTCGCAGCTACCATCGTCTGGCCGTAGGCGGCTAGGCGCTATCTCAAATTTATCAAAATTTACCGGGAGCACCGGTAAATTTTTATACTCAAGTTTTAGGGGCTAAAATTTTTAGTGCTTATAATACATCCATAGGGGCATCCAAATATATCAAAATTGTAAAGAATCACTATCCAGCCAATTTTCAAAATTTACCAAAACTTTGTAATACCTTTAAGCGGTTAGTATTTTTGCTTGCAATGCAGCAATCATAATTATTATTTAAATGTAGGACAAGAGTCCAGAGTCACAAATTAAGTTGACTTCATACTCCAAGAATCACTGAACTGATAACAAATAAACCTTCTATTTAGGTACTGGTAATATGGTTTTTCAAATTTTACTTTTAATAAGTAACTACCGATATGCTTTACACTACTTGAAATACATTGTACATGAATAAAAAAACAAATATTTTCATTACAATATCAATTATAGGGCAATCCAACCCTTGTAATAAGTTGATTTGTATGAAAGTCAACTTTAGGTACCAGTCATCTACATGTACAGTATGTATAATTATTTCTACTGATGGCAGCGGTGGGGTATGAACCCACCCAATCAATATGACTGGTAACTAAAACTGACTTTCATACAAATCAACTTATAACAAGGGTTTTGCCTGTATTTAAATATTTATTTATGTACATGTACATATACATGTACATGTATCACCTTTAAATGTCCGAAGTTAAATTTTATGTATTTTTTACATGACTATAAATTATCTTGAGTCTCTTGAATATCTTGGATTGACCAATTTTAAGGAAGTTATGAATGTTTGAAATATGAGATCACTAAGTCTATGCGAATCTCAAATTGGTAGTTTGGTCAATGGATTGTGACGTACATTGTTGGACGGGGATTGCTCTCCCATTTGCTGCGTACAAAGATATCCCTAATTTCTGTTTTTCTCGTAAGTTTCTTCTCCCTTATATAAGGCACTACTCAAAATATATTATAAATAGCATATTATTCTAAGTCCGCAAAACAGAAAATACCCATCTGAGCCATTATTTTGTTAAAAATTTAAATTTTAGACATTTTATATGTTGGAATAAATGGGAAAGTAGTTTGGCACTGCATGTACATGTACATCACATTACTTACTTACTTACTTCACTTTAATACACGATGTTGTAGGTCTAAGCCTGTTCATCGATCCGCTTCAGCAAATTTCAAGTGCCCACACGTATAGTGATTACATTTTTCCAAAATTCATAACTTTCTTTTATTCAGTCAGATTTAATTGAAACTTTCATCAGTTTGCTTCTCTGATTTTTCTGTTTTCTTTTAGATTAGATTTCTATTTGGGTTGGATTTCCCTGTAAGTAATACAAGATAGAATGTCTATCCTCATTACAAGGTGGTAGTATACATGTATAGTGATGAGTTCTCTTAATTACATTCAGAAAGTTTCAGAAATATAAATCTAATTAATTCCCTAAAAGGCAAATGGCTATAACCTACTTCACTCTACTTGCTACATATGAACATGTATATGCACATATATATTGTAGGCAAACTAAATATCAGTATGTTTCATACAAATCGGTTTGACTTTTGACTTTGCCCTTGACATACAGTTGAGTAATAATAAAAAAAAAAGGCTTGTTAATGCAAGTCTCATTCCTAAATAATGAGATTATCTGACATTCTGACTAGATATACCGTAAATCTCCGTGTATAAGGCGCACTTTTTGCCGCTGAAAAAATTTGAAGGTTGGGATGCGTCTTATACACAGGAACAATTTTTTTTTTTTTTTTTTTAAGTTTCGATTTATGCCTCTCCACCTGGCGCTATGCCTGGCAAATGGCAATATCTCCCAGCTCAGTAATCTGTGTGTTGACTCACCACTCAGAGACTACAACGACACTCAAATTTGTCTGTCATCTTGGTTTGAAAGTAATCTTTCTAATACATGTAGATCTCAATATGTAGTTTATAATAATAATTCCTCAAATTTTTCCTCTATTACACACGGCGTACCACAAGGTTCTATCCTAGGTACTCTACTGTTTTTAATTTACATTAATGATTTTAAACATTCTTCTAAAAACGGCATTGTTACTATTATTTGTGACAAGTTCACAAGCACAAATTGGCGCCTTCAACTGCACCTAGATGTTAAATGAAAGTCCTTTCCCGCGCGGGTTTTTCGGCAACAAACAAACAAACAAACACAGGTGCGTCTTATACACAGAGATTTATGGTAGGGCGAAACAAACAGGTAAATATTACAATGTACATGGTACACATGTGCTTTAAAAAAAACATTGTTTACAAATTCAATCTCTGGGTTAACAATATAATAATAACAAAGGACACTAGTTAGCGCCACAGCAGGAGTTGAACCCAGAACCATGTACATTGCAATGGTTTGGACTTGATGTCAGTTAGTTCGCTGTTGGTCCCATGGTTCACACTCGCCTTTTACATGTACCGGTACATGTAATTAAATCCATTCCGATTCGAGTCCAAGTATACCTTTCAGAAACTGATGTTGCAGGTCAACCTCTATGATCTGCAGCGCTTGACTGAAACCTCTCTGCAAAGAACTATTTTTTTATTTCACAGACACAAGAATTACAAAATAAATGATTTGCGACAATAAAACAATTATAAAGCTATAGTAACCATGGTAACTTACATTGAACTCAAGTTCAAATGAATCAGATCCATCCAATGATGAAGACAGATCAGCCATGTTTTCATAGTGTTCAAGAAAGTTCTCTAAGTTTTCCTTCAGCGACATGATGGATCACTGGTTTCAGTCACAGGCTCTTCTTAAAATGTAAAATAATCTCGATGTAGGTCTAGATCTTTGAAGTTTGGTGATCAATAATCACATCCAGGAATGAAATTCAACTCTTTCACTTTCAGGATCCATGTACAATAATGTAGACCAATTTATCCACAAATATGAAAACTATTGTTTATGTTTGATTCGACAGTAAGATAAAAGACAAATCGTGTAAAGTCCCAAGATTGGCCAAGAACTCTAATTGTCTATGGCAACGCGACAGTTAAGTAAATCGAGACAAGAATAGATGATGAAGACAAGACAATTAACTGACAAGTTAACATTATTTTAGCGCAAGGTATGAGCAAATTCAAAAAGGCTGATACTCAGAGATATTCTGAGTAATAATAGAATTGGAATGTAGATACTGATCTAAAGCATACACGTTTGATCTCGGCATTGTTTTATTGCAGGAAAGCTTTGAAAGCGAGATATCACGATTATCTGGTACCGCAGCTCCAGAAGGCTCACAACAAGAGTTCCGCCCCTGCAGTTCGGGGCCAAGTATCTGACGCTCGATGATTTCCAGCTGAAACAGAACAAGGAAGTGCTGTGTGGTTATCTGAATCTAGCTAGAGGCGGTGCGTGAAAATGTTTGCAATTCACAATTCATTTAATAAAAATAACATAATTGTTGACTGGTATATCTTCCACAGGTACTGAGGCTGGATGATCTATTCATATACCCCGTACATGATCAATAAAGGTAGCTATCGCAATCAAAATAAGCCCAAATACGTTGCAAAATGACGTGTTGCGCTGGCCAACTATTTCACAGCTCCTGTTATTTTCGTGCACTGCATGCAATGCATGCACTGTGCGCTGATCGCGTATCGACCTAGCGCTAGCGCTTGCATGCTCTTCCTTTGCAATTGCTATAGCGCCATCTCTTGGTTTACCATGTAGGAAGCGATTGAGATGCTGTTTGAGCTGAATCCCAACAAAAAGAAGAGGAAGAGGGGCTTATACAGGCGCGTAGGCCAGTGTACGTGGGAGGAGAAAAAGAAGAAGAAGAAGAAGAAGAAAAAGAAGAAGAAGAAGAAGAAGAAGAAGAAGAAGAAGAAGAAGAAGAAGAAAAGAAGAAGAAGAAGAAGAAGAAGAAGAAGAAGAAGAAGAAGAAGAAGAAGAAGAAGAAGAAGAAGAAGAAGAAGAAGAAGAAGAAGAAGAAGAAGAAGAAGAAGAAGAAGAAGAAGAAGAAGAAGAAGAAGAAGAAGAAGAAGAAGAAGAAGAAGAAGAAGAAGAAGAAGAAGAAGAAGAAGAAGAAGAAGAAGAAGAAGAAGAAGAAGAAGAAGAAGAAGAAGAAGAAGAAGAAGAAGAAGAAGAAGAAGAAGAAGAAGAAGAAGAAGAAGAAGAAGAAGAAGAAGAAGAAGAAGAAGAAGGGGATCGTCCCCCCTCAAAAATTGAAAAAGTGAAGAAAAAAATAAGTGTATAGCAATTGGAAAAGTGAACTGTGAAAAGGGTATATTGCTTGTTTTTATACTATTGTTATGGAATGTAATTTATTAATACAACAAAACTTCAAAACCTGTGGGGGGGTAGTCACTTCCTTCACCTTCACCACTTTCGTTCACTGTGCTCTCTCGCCCTGGCGTAATGATGGGGGGGGGGGGGTTCGGGGGTAGTTGCCCCCTAATAAAATTCAAACTTGATTTATTTCTAACTCGATACCAGTGATTTACAAATGTTGCTGAAATGGCATGGTTTTTCCTTGAGCCCCTGGACCCCGCTAAGGGCCCTAAGGCTGGCCCCTGGTTGCTCATCTGACCGTGAGTAAAGGCGTAAAACCCTGAGCTTCCGTGGGCTCTGCCTCCTGGACCCCACCAGGGGCTCTAAGGCGAGCCCCTGGATGCTCATCTACTGGCCGTTATTACATGCCTTAAAACCCTGAGCTAAAGGAGGCTCTGCCCCCTGGATGCTCAGCTGACTGTTATTAAATGCCTAAAACCCCTGAGCTTTATGGGGCTACCGTCCTTGACCCACGCCAATTTACGCTCTACTTTCTTCGCTCGCTTTGCTCTACCTGATCGAAAATACTTTAACCCCCCCCCCCCCCCACTTTGAAAAACGTTCCGCGGGGCCTGCACGTACCATGTAAGAGTGGGGATGCATATTTTTGTTTCTCTCCCCCCCCCCCCCCCCCGCAAAAAAAAAAAAAAAAAAAAAAAAAAAAATCATTAAATGCCACTGCTCCGCCGTCCCTCACATTTCGTCCCCCCCCCCGGTCATGAAAAGAAATCGCCGCCCCTGTATAACATTAAGTTGTGACATACCTTTAGTGGCAAAGCAATTTAATAGGTGTATGAAAGGAGAAGGGTTAGAAGATCGATGAGTAAAGATTTTTCCCAGTGATTTTTTTTTTAAGGGGGTAGGGGGCAGGCGGGCGTTGATAATGAAGAATTGTTGCTTTGGCATTTCTGAGGATTATGTTCATGCTTGATACTTGATGAGGTAATCCCTGAAGCATCTGTTTACAAGAATTCTAAGGCTGTAAAATAAGGCCTATCTACGTATTATAGGAATTTAAGGTATAAAACGGTACGTTCGTGACCGCGCAAATAGGATCAAAACAGAAAGAAATTCTCCGGAGAAGTAAATTAAGAAAAATTTAAAGGAATTAAGGAATTTAAATATTTTTTAAAGGAAGGAAAATGTTATTTTTAAAAAAGGAAAAGAAAGAAAGAGGAACGGTGGGGATAACGAGGAGGGAGAAAGAGAAAAGAGGAGAGGGGAGAGAGCTAAAGGAGGAGGAGATAGGAGGGAAGATTGTGGAGAAGGTAGTGAGGAGGGTCGAGAAACATTCAAAGTAACTTAATTTAAAGCAATGCCGCGCCCGCCCCCCCCCCTCCCCAGGAGGGTCACTCCCAACATGACCGCTATACGCACCCGCATCCAGAAAACTCTTTTTCAGCTATATAAGGCGGTGTCAACGTTTTCCTTAAAAAGGAGTGTTTTTCAAGCACTGATTGCACAAAAACCAATAAAAGGGTACATTTTCAGGTTAACAGGTTTCTCCGTTTTCTTGAAAAAGGTCATTTCAAATAAAGGTGCGATACGCCATAGGGTCCATTTTAGAGGTTAATGGACACGGGTATATGAGAGTGACTCCCCTGGATGCCCCCCCCCCCCTTCCCCCTGCCCCTAGATCCTTGAAACTGGCACCCCCCCCCCCCCCCCCAACCAATAAGGAGGAGGCAAGCGACCAATAGCAGGGGATATAGTGTCTCCAAAACGTCCGATCGAAAAGGAAAAAGAAAAATTTGCACGTCTCAGGTGACGTTATTAAACGAGGCCGGTGTTTCACAAAGATTATGTCTAGACATAAACCCCAAAGTCTCTCGTAAGTGGCCTAGTTACGAGAGACTTCTAGTAGTCTGATTCACAAAGCAAAGTCTACACATAAAAGTCTTTCCTAAGTAAAAAGTCTCTCGTAAGTTACGAGAGACTCAAGAAGAGTCAAAATCTCCGGTATCTATTTCAGTTTGATATTCATGGCGGTTGGATATATTTAGTTTTATCTTAATTCAACTTCAGAAGTTTATCATTCATCCAAATGCACTGAATACAGTAACATATTTGAGAGAAAAGAGCAAGGTTTCACTTTCAAAATTATGTGAAACATTAAGTTCTATCTTAATGTCATACAATAGTTTTTAACTGGAGCCTGTAAATTTGCAACCAAAAATTCAAATTCCAACAGCATTTGAAAGAAAATACTAATTTAGAACTTCCCTCAAAACGAAAGGGCTTGAAAATGGCTTCTAGTTGGAAAAATTGAGCATTAATTGTCAAATTGACTTAAGTGATTGCAATCACCTAAGTAATAGTTTGATTTTTAGACCCTGTATACGTTTAACAAAATAATGGTCGTATCATTTTGTGCTGCAAAAAGATTCAATCAGTTTAATTTTGGCCAATACAAGTAGTGAGTTATTGATGTATATAGACAAAATGCTCATGTACCTGTTACAGCTCATTGTATGTATGTTATTACCAAAGAAAAAAAGATGTCAGTGTATGACAGTGATATAGGCAAGCGGGTTTCCTTGCTTAATTTGAATACTAGGACACTGCTAAGTTAAATTTCACAGATAGAACATACATGAAATATTTATAATTCCTGCAAAGTTCTATAGACTATAATGTTGGCTGCAAAAGGGACATAGTATCTTTAAAATTCGAATTAAAAACGTCCATTTCCTACATAGTAAAACGTGTGGAATAAAGCCACGTAAGCCGGGACTAAATGCCGGTTTGAACTTCAGTAATAAACAAGTCTGAATCAGTCAAGACCTATAGTATATTGACACAATTTTTCGGCATGTGATATTATATGAGTATAGTTTTATATATAGTATATATTTTTATATAAAGCGTTCAAACTTGAAAATGTATTTTAGCCATTATTACATGTAAAGTGCGGATAAACACGGTAACACCCGGTTTGAGGCCTAACTTCATTCTGAAACGGCATATTGACATAATGATTGACTATTCACATTTGATTTGATAAGCGTCTTTATCTTTATATCATACAATACTTTATAATGCGTTAAAAGGGTGATTTTCCATTGAAGTCATGATTTATTTTTTTCAGCTCTGAAAACCTTTGCAAAATCTGTTAAAAATTCGGTATTTAGTAATTTTGTTTAGTTCAATCTAAAATTACTTATTTAACAAAAGTTAAAAGTTTGCTAAACTATACTCCGTATATTGTTGTGTTCTTATAAATGCGTGTATTATACTCACAACTTGAAATTGGGATTAGAGGTTTTCAACGCTTAAAATGTATCAGATTAACAAATATTTGTTCCGCTTTGATATGACACATTTTATTTTCACACTGAAGAGTAGACTATAGTAAAAGCTAACTTTTCTTCTCTTTATCACCCATGTTACACATTCATTTTTCGTTTTTATTTCTGAAGACACCATACTGCGAAATCTATTGTTTTCCGGGCTAACTTCGCCCGAATCCTTATTGGTCGCCAATAGCCGTCTTTGCCGTGCCTGAACGACGCTACGGAACTTTACAAGAACACGAAGATATCTGTTTATTGAAAAGGAAAATATTACATTTATTGAGTGGTGAGTATGTATTGTTTTAGAATCATCAGTGGTACTTGTATTTAAGCTGCATTTAGTGCAATTTCTCCTTTTTCCGGATACTCTGCTCGGCCTCGGTGCAGTGTGAATCAGGAAGTGTAATGTAGTCCCATTAATTCAATATCAGGCTGGTTAATTATCGGTTCTACAAATACAATAATTACAATGTAATTGAATACACACGTAGCAGCGCTACTATCCTGGCTGTGCATTAAAGACAGCACTCACTGTAGATCTACTGCAATTTCGTGGGGGGGGGGGGGGTGCAAAGGAACTCTTACCGATATGATAAACAATTTAATGAATCATTGTTGATTAAAAATAAGTCATTAGGGTCTAGATAGTAGTAGACCTAAGTAAACAAAGGGAAGGGTACTAAAAGTTATGTAGACCTAGGTGAAAATTTCCTTGGTTTTCCAGACATTTGACCCTATAATACTTTTACTCATTGGGCCAATAGCTTCAGCTACATTTATTTTTGCACCATTTTCTATTTTTATGACGTATTTTCAAAATGAAGGGAGACCTCAACGCTTGATTACATTGCATTTGTTTATTGTTGCGATCACTTAACAGTGACACAGCTGCAGCTCGGGTCACGTTAGCGGCAGGCTATCTGAGCATGCGAGATAGACAGCCACCCGTCAGATTTTGTGCAACTGCTTTAAATCATAAGTGATGTCACTTGGAGAGTGTCCCGCAACGCACGCTTTTTAATTTTATCTATATCAGCAGGAGGGAACTAAGTAAGCAGTCGTCTCTCGGTGGGGGGGGGGGGGGGGGGGGGGGGCTTTAAAATAAAAGTGTTAACAAAATTTCTCTCTATTTTAGTATTAAAATCATGTACCAAAATGGTATATAATTCAACCTAATGATTTGATAGTCCACGTTATGTTGCAATAGTAGAGTAAAAGTGAAAAAAATTGATTGTTTGATTCACACATGTAGTATGCAACGCTAAAGGTCAATACGCATTAGCATTGACTACAATGCTTTGCTGGAGTGATTTAATAAGCATGATTGATAAGGCACTTTCGTTTTCAACTTGAATCCTTGCTCGGGAATGTAAGAATTATGTTGTTATGTATTCCCTTTTAGGACGTTATTTCCAATAAGCTTTTTGGACTTTTTATGAAGCCAGTAGCTAGTAGCCCAGCACCATAGAGTGGTGAAGTGTGACGTCATCAAAAATCTATTTTTAGAATTTCTCAATTTTTTCTTCATATTCCGAAAAGACAAAAATAATGTCCAAATGTCGAAAACCAATTGAATATGTTAAGTATTGGCTGAGATATGACCATCTGAATGAATATATGTCCTATGGGAACTCAGTGTTATATGCTCTGGCTTCTAACCATTGGGACCAAGAGCATATAACACTGAGTTCCTATGGGGAGTATATTTATTCAGATGGTCATATCTCAGCTAATACTTAACATATTGAATTGGTTTTCGACATTTGGACATTATTTTTGATGTTCTTTCGGAATATGAAGAAAAAATTGAGAAATTCTAAAAATAGATTTTATGACGTCACAGCTTCGGTACTCTATTACTTATCACAGTGAATTGTCATTATATTTATAGGTCTTGTCTTGTAACGATGTGTTTTTAAAATTGATGATAAAGGATTTTATTCTATTTTTATGCCACCCTTCAATTTTCATAGTATCCTCTGAACTGTTAATTATTTTTGTTATGCTAATGGCATATTAGGCCATTAAAAAAAATAAACATGTTTAGCGTCCCCGCCCGCTTCCTTGTTGGGGGCCGCCTCCTATTTTTTTTTTTTTTTTTTTTTTTTTTGAAAGAAAAAAAACATGAAAAACACTGTCAGTGAAAATGTACCGAGCGGCCATTTTGAGCGGCCATTTTGAAACAAAAAATAAAAAATAAAAAGGGCCTCCTTCTTCCTATTTTTCGAAAAAACAGGACACTAAACATGTTTTTTTTTATTTTGGCCTTATAGGTCTAGTCTAAATTAATATCAACAAATATCAACAAAATGCGTTGTGTTACTCTTCTTCTTTTTTTTTTACAGATCAGGAATAAATACCAAAATGTCTTTGAAGGAGGTGTGTGAAGAGTTGGATGAGCTTGCTGTGAACTACTTTCAGACTTTAGAAGAACTCTCAGAGCAAAGGAGAAGATTTGAGAAGTTTATTAAAGAGGTAGGTTTTTTTTTGTCATAAGCTCCAGAATGTCACTCCTTGGAAGTACAAAAGTTAAATTGCACAGATTTGTAATTTTCATGAGAACCTTTTCTTGTATACTGCAAATTATCATGTTGGGTTTCCAAAGAGCTTTGTAAATCATCTACCAGGAGGTTATCACTCAAAGCTGTTTCAATGTCTGCATCTGTGGAGATTGACAGACATTGAAAACATTGATCACAAAAGATTTGTTGAGGACTATTTTTTTTTAATGGATCATGGATGGATGTGAAAAACATATAATTCTAGTCTGATTGTATGAAATAGTTTTGTATTACAATTTTTGTTAGAAACTAAAATGAGTTTTCCCCCTCTACAGGGCTTCCTGAATTTGTCCAAGGCTCGATTTTCGATGGGAATCGGGGCCGTGAGCTCGCTCCAGTACGATACCACATCAATGTGTCCTCTGGCACATGTTGTCACAAGGTAGATATATATACAAGTTGTGTGTGTATTCCTGAACATGTTAGGTACATTCTGCATTACTAAGAATGAACGTTGAAGTAGAATGGGTCGTCTTCTTAATGTATATAGAGCACTGTTATGAGGGATTTGCAAGCCCTCAAAAATTTATCCCAAAATTTATCTGTAGCAGCTTGAGTGAATATTTTTAAGCCCTCATTTTGTACACAACGAATGGGGTGCAAAATTCAAATTTGTAAAGAAAAATGACTGTAATTTTGCTAATAACAAATATTTTGCCATAATATTTTTTTTCAGTTATCATTTTACAACATTTTGGCAAGTTTTTATATTTTCACCCTCTAAATCCCTTTAAAGGGATATAACAAATATTTTTTTTCAGTTATCATTTTACAACATTTTGGCAAGTTTTGATATTTTCACCCTCTAAATCCCTTTAAAGGGATCCGGTAACTATGTCTTAGATCCTTTAGAAATAATCCTTGATTTAGCTCATGCTGCAATGATAATTATAAATCTTTAGGTCAGTCAGGAACTCCATGACTTTTACAAGCCAATCGCCTGTCTGATTATCTAGATATTAATGATTGGAATTACAAATTTTGAAAACCGTTCACTGAACGGTTTTCATAACACTATAGTCTATTGGGGAAAACGAGTTTGGTAAAACCGGTCACTCAAAGATTTTTACTTTTTTGAGGCACTTCTTGATCATTTTGAAGCACGATTTTTTTAGGGCTTCAATGTTACACCATATCACAGACACTGCTAACATGTAGGACTGTGTATCTCATATTTAACATTGTTAAACGATCCCTTTAACAGAGATGCCAACTGTTACGTTTTTGCCGTATTTGTTCCGTTTTTTCGCTATGAATACAGCAGAACTTTTTTTTTTTTTTTGTGACGTTTTTCTTAATTTCTGATCATGGGTTTTGTGTCGTAAGTGTATTATGCACCAACATCTTCAAACGATGCATGCAAGATGGTGATACGGGCCCCAAACTGCGCACATTGCGAACAACCCGCGTGTAATGTATGCACGGCGCGCTCCGATCCGGGTACGTTTACGTGGTACTGCCGGTTTTTTTAAGCTGCTCGATTGGGCGATATGTTAAGGTGAGAGATTTTTAAAAAAAATACTGCTCTTTGCTCTTAAGAATACTTTTTGTTGTTGAAGAAGGTTGGCATCTCTGCTTTAATGCCCTTTAATTAGTTCTTTATTTCAGTTGATACATTCCAGTGGGTCAAAAACTGCCCCAATCATGTTTTCAAAGACTTGGTATGTTAGGATAAAAATAAATAAAAGAATGTGTAATACTAGTGATACTCTTTGCTAACATGTACCACATGTAATTTATTTGAATATGTTTTGATAGCAAGGAGGATGACTGCCATTCATTTGAAGTGTGTCGAACCAAAGCCATGAAACGCTCAGAGAGGAAGTCACTGGAAGGAAATGAGTCAAGAGCAAACCAGTCTACCACAACTACTGATGATAATACAGGTATGTAACATTCACAAGCAAATCTATAATGCAAATGTTTAAAAGAAAGATCATATACAGTGCGTCCCAGAAAAAACGAAACCAAGAATTATCAATGTTTTATCATAGCTTTTATAATTGCTAAATGACACATATTTGGAAAGCTTAGATCCTCCTCTTTCATTTGATGCAACTCACCTGATGCATATGTCACACATGAGTGATTTTAAATGAATTTGAACTTTTGAAGAGAGGAAACCAAAAAGTCATTTGGCGGACAATATCTGAATTTCAAAGAGAAAATCACATTTCTAGAAAGTTGAGTTTCTGCCCTGTCATATGACACGTCAATCACGAAAAATGAGCAAGGAATGACAAAGTTCTGTATGTTTAAAGTAATGCTTGCATTTCCATAATTTTATCAAACGAATTCGTTTTTACTAGCTACCTGCAGTAGCAAAAAAGAGAATTGTCAAAAGACTTAGCTCCGTTTCGTTGACAATCAGCCATGCATGAAGTCTTTCGTCTACGGCCGATTGTCAACGAAACGGAGTTAAGTCTTTTCTTAATTCCGTGTGTTGCTAAGGCAGGCAGCCAGTGAAAATGAATTCCTTTGATAAAATTATGGATATGCAAGCACTACTTTAAACATACAGAACTTTGTTATTCTTAGCTCGTTTTTTTGTGATTGAGGTGTCATATGAAAGGGTAGAAACTCAACTGTCTGGAAATATGATTTTCTCTTTGAAATTCAGATACCGTCCGCCAAATGACTTTTTGGTTCCCTCTCTTCAAATTCATCTTAATCACTAATGCGTGAAATATGCATTGTATGAGTTACGCCAGATGAAAGAGGAGGATCTCAGCTTTCCAAATATGTGTCATTTAGCAATTATAATTGTGATTAAGTTATGATCAAACCTCGATAATTCTCGGTTTCATTTTTTCTGGGACACACTGTATAACTATAACTGATTGATTATTGATTATATGATTACCGGTAAGGGTCTGTAGTTTCTAGCGCTCAATTAATCATATGTTTTTGTGTGTTTTTAATGGTTGTCTTCAACCCTGTGCTGTAACTTTTTGTAGGTTTGATAACTTTCAATGTAATCCTTTTCAACTTTACCTCCTCGTGCTCAAGTGTACCATTTTATTGTGTTTTAATAGATGTAATTATGAATCAGTCACATGACTGACATGCATTTGGGAATTCAATAGATTGCCATATTTGATGATCTTCCTAATAAAAAAATTGTTATTGTGATATTGACATGAATTTATAAATTTTAACAGGTCTCTGTCAGTGATTTTGTGCCCACATTCAAGGCAGATCTTTATAAAGACATGTTCCCTTGTGACTATTCAGCCTAATTTTAACTTTTGAATTTTGATTATTTGACTCCATCCCAAGGTATCTCAGACGTGATTTTCAATGGCTTAATAACATGGTTAGTTTGTGGGCGATAATTGTGCCCAGGGTTCAAATGATGGCATAACAAATTGTTATACTTTGGTCATCACACATTTAGCAGTGAGAAGAAGAAGACCCCTGTCATCCAGTCCCACTGATGGAGTGGAAACCCTTACAGCTGAAATGGACCAATTGACAACATCGCCAGAGGAAACAACCACCACCACCGCCAGGCAGGACATACCCACTGATCCCCTTCTATGGTTTGGAGTCCTGGTCCCACAACCTCTTAGACATGGGCAGCAGAACTTTGTAGAGGGTGAGTGAGAGAGAGAGAGATAGGGGTAGAGTAGAATTGTAAATCTTAGGGGGGATGGTGAATCTGTCACATATGCTCTGATGTTTGTTTACTACTGCATTTATAAATCCATCTATTTTATTTTTTTATGAAATAGCAGATATTTCTGTTCCTTGTATTTGGGTAAATATATGAATGTCTATTGAAATTGGAAAATAGCATGCTTTTATGTGGAATCAATGTCAAAGTTTAAGTTGAAGTAAGCTGATGTTACAAAACTGGGAGAAACTTGAAATATATGTTGGGCAGTTTTTCCCTAAAAACAAATTCTAGGATGGGACCAAGTCAACCAGTTTTACTTTCTCTAATAGAATATATAGACCACATGGGATAGCATTACAGGTTATGGAAGACTCTGGTCTTGATTTCTGCAATGGACGATATTGTTTTTGTTGGGAAAAATAAATTACATTTATGCACCAGCAAACATAGCATAAATTTGTGCTATTTCGATGATTATGACTGATTCTGTATCCTACTGATATTTGTTTATCTACCAGGTATTCTTATAAGTATTTGAACTTCATTAATCAGTCTTTGTTCTGCTTTATATTTCAGCTATTGAAGCCTGTACTGTCCTGGCGTCACTCCAAAACAAACTAGACACAGCTTATGCACAGTATCGCAGTAAACTGAGAGTGAAATATGATATCATCAACAAGACTAAGAATGGAGACAGCAGCCTTGCAAATGGTGCAATAACAACATAGGAAGGTCCTTGATGTAGCGCAAGGAACAGATTAAACAAGATTTATTTTTGATATAACTGTGTATGATGTATGTGTGCATGTTTGTGAAATGTACAGGGTTAGTACTTTGTGTACATAACTTTGAAATACAGTCTGGAAAGTTGGTCTTAACCGGTTTTAGGAGTCAAGATTATAGGATTGGTGGCAGTTCATGGAATTTCTTTTACATGATTCATCTGCATGATGGCATTTATTATTTCAGAGATATCCAATTAATGATAGAGTTGTTCATATTGAAAATCAATATTGATTATATCCTGATTAAACTCTGATAATTCTTTATAAAATTTAGGGATGTTTTTTTTTTATCTTACATCCTGAAACAAATAAGTTAACAGTTCAACTAAACTATTGGCCATCTGAAATTGATAGGTAGATGAGTAAGCAAAATATTGTCAGGGTTCCTGAACTTTCTGCACTTCACAAAATAGATTCCAGGACTTTTCAGTAATAACATTTAAATAATAAAATCAAATGTTTTTCTTCAAACATTTCTGGCCATTTGCCTTTAACGGTAGTCTCTGATCATTCATCCAACGCATCTATCAATATCCCACCTATCCCACCTAGCCCTTGTTAATGCATTTGATGTAGAGGGGTGCCCATATTTATTATGTTACTCAGTAGTAGTCATTATAATATAGTTATGTTGTACATGTTCATGCATAGTGATGTGTACATCAGTTTGCTTTGTGTTACTGTAAAATGAGAAACTGTCACAACAACCATTTTGATGGCAAGAAACTAGTGAATTGCAAAACGTTAGCATCAATTGCAATTTAGTCAATTTATAGCATTGAATTGTCTAAATCAAAGACATTTGAGAAGTTTCTCGTTTTACAGCATATACCGGTAGATACATTTATGTGAAAATATAATCTTGCCTGTAGAAAATTACTACATCAGTACTTGCAGTGAAACAACCGTTTGAGGAAATGGTTATGAAGTGCGTTCTGAATGGTTAATCATGCATAATTTGAACCAGCAAATATCAAAATCTTCCCCGAAAAGCACAAATTAAATCGAACAGTATTAGAATATATACTGAATGTATACATTTGAAAATGTGGAACTATTGATGCAAGGCCGTCACATTTGACACTCTCAAGATTATTCTACATTAGGGGTATATATGAGAGAAAAAAATAATTGATTTAATGTAAGACTTCTGAAAACTAAACCTCAAATTAGTATTGATGGTTGATTTATGTTTCTCATCACTGACAAAAAAGATTGTTTTTTTGTTCTGTTAACAGTAAATTGTGTCTATATGTTGAATATTTTGTCATTATATACATTCCATTGCAATAAAAAATCAATTTGTGAGAATTTCTTCTCATTCACTCTCACCGTCTCATTTTCCCAATTGTTTCTCCTCTCAGTTCCTTGAATACTCTAATACTTCTTCAACTTTCAAGCCATTGTTTAAGATACAAATTCACACACAAAATCTTTTAAAAGGTATGAATTGTCAATGTCTATATGCGCTTGAAGTTCTAAATACATGTTGTGTCTTTCATTGTGTGCTGTAGTCTATGAAGTGTACCACTTGAATAGAATACAACCAAAACAATGAAGTCGTGTACAGATACTGTAATGAATGAAAAGTGCATTGTATCAATGATTGGCCCTTCAATAGAAATGATAGACATACAAATAATCAGTTGTTCGATGAGCAAAACTACATTTTTATTGAAATATTCATATTGCATTTAGAAATTTATAGAGTTTTACATTCAAATTTGATATTGGATATTATAATTAAATCCATAATGCAACCCAATAACCCCTACAATAATTTGAAATCCATTATCAACTAGCAAACTTCATAATATTGACTGATTTACCCCACCCCTATGATGTAATATAAACACAATTTAAAAATTTATCCCAAATGTATGAATATGAAATACATTCACTATTACAGACCTGCCAACCTCTGGAGTTCAAAAACTGTATTCTTTAGGCCCAAAAGTTGTATTTTACTGACAAAAGTTGTATTCTTGAAAATAAACACGGATTATTACGCGGATCAATGCCTCTTACAGTTTCTACCTACAGGAAGAATTTTTTTTATTGATCATTGGTTGAATATGCATGATTTCGTCATGACTGATGTGTTCGATGAACCAATGAACATCCCCAAATTGCCGATGTGAGATGCTTGTAGGATACTTGATTAATATTAATTATTAAAAAAAAAAAAAAAAAAAAAAATCATTTTTTTTTTTTTTTTTTTGAAAATCGTATTTTATTAAGAAAAATCGTACTGTCGTATTTGCTTCTAAAAATCGTACTAAATACGACTAAATCGTACTGGTTGGCAGGTCTGCTATTATGCTACAAAACAAACATTTAGAATAAAAATATTTCATGTTAAATATCACTTAAAAGCTTAGGCTTACATACACCTAGCTATCACAGTCAGGTGGTGTATCATTTCATAAACGTATTTCATGACAAGAAGTGACTGTTTAAAGTGAATAAAATACGACTCCTGCTGTGCATTTCTTAAAGGTACTAACTATATATTTTTGGAACAAAAGATCATCAAAACTAACATCAATACACAAAATGCTGCATTGTTTGCAGATCTCAAATATCAAACTATTTACATGTCTATAGTAAAATACAATCAGAACCAAGTATGGTGCAGAATGAATTCAAACATTACTGTTATTTTAAAATGCACACAAACACTGATGGATTTACCCTTTTAGTAACTATCATTTGGTCAAACAGATACTGTATGTGTTGCTTGAAAGCTATAGGCTATATTTCATGAAGTTCATAATGTATATCATTACTTTTCTAAAGCACTCGTGTAAAACTGGGCAAATAATACCTGTAAAGCAAAGACATCGTTGATGCATTTAGCACTACAAAATCTCAGAATAGCATTATTATCATTAATATACATGAACAGTTTGCTTACTTCAAGTTGTCTACCTCCAATGCAATGAATTGATGAATACTTTTACATGATGATTGCTAATCATAATAAATATGGATGGGCAGTCACGTCAATACTTGATTGTACTCATTATAAATAGTACTGGTAAAGTTTTGACACATACCGTCGCTGTTTTCACGAAGTGACGGTAGTGAAAAAAAATTGCATTCACTTTGCGTGACGATTTTCCTCACTACCGTCACTTCGTGAAAACAAGGACGATACTAAGCATGTCAGTACAACAGGAGAGGAGAATCAGTTCAAGGTAATTCAGCAAGTAAACGTCATGGAATATCATTGGTATATCATGGAACCTTGTTATACTAAACTCCTTAGGACCTGTAAAATTACCTTAACGTTGGAACTTTCTTATATCAGTGCTAGAAAACAATAGTGCACAAAGAAGGGAGACTGGTAAAATTGCTTCTTACAATGAGCTGGTTAAAACGAGAGTAATGAGGTTCTACTGTATATACACATTAAAGTGATACAGTGATAAAGAAAGATGATGCAGACATGTATTTCCTGTCACCCTTTTCCACCTACTCGGTAATAAATAGAGTTAGGAATAACAAGGAACTAATGGTCTGGAAACCCTCTTTAAAGCATGGGTACCCTGTACAATCTAACTTACTGAGTGAAATGAAATACAGTAGTACAAGTTTTCCTAAGTTCAGTACTTGTAAAAACATTAAGAGCAGAGGTTAAAGCATCTAACCTGACATTTGCTATTAACAATCTTGCACACCTTGGGTTACTGTGCAACTATCTGTTTTAATCAAGCTCATAATTTAAATGCAAAGCTAGTTTAAGAAATAGAAAATTTTGGAAGATGCCATGAGCAAAAACACTCAACACTTCAACAGGATTGCAGCTAAAAATCATCATTCACACCTTACTCCTAAAACCCGGGTCCAAGTCTGTGCATTCTCAGACCTCCCTCTTCACTCATGGCTCTTCATCGGACGAGAAGAAAGCTGGACCCTTTCTTGATTTGGTCGGGCTCTTGCTTCTCCTGCTTCTGGATTCACCAGATGATGGGGTTGTCTTTCTCTGAATGACATAGTGCCTGCTAGCCATGCTCTCTACTTGCTGGGCAAACATGAAGGTTGTTTCAAGGTCTAGGAGAGGGTTCGGGGACTGCTGGAGGACCCGGTGACGAAGGTTGTACGGGGACTGGAAGCTCAGGTTCTTTAGAGGAAGAAAGGGATTATATAAAGAGAATGTACGAATACAGATCATTTGAAGATGAAAGAAAGAGAAACAAATAACGATCATGAACAAGTTGTTCTACAAATTCCTTTAAGATTCTTGCTATAAAATAGATAAATATCATTCATTAAATTGTTTTTTTATTATTTTTTTCTACATATTCTAATTCTTTAAATGATGGGAATGAAATCAGGAAATATTTCAGGATCTTTGAAGATTTCCATAATGTAAGTCAAGTGTCGAATGAATTGTTGTGGAACTTACAGGGACTGGTGTTCCTTCTCTTGAAGTCCTGTTTTTACTCCCCTTTGGTCGACCTCGTTTCCGTTTAGCTGAAGATCCTGTGTCATCTGTTTGCAATCCATGTGAGTTAGCTGCATCATTGATATGATAAAAACAGAGGAATCAGTCATGGATAAATATTATCAATTAAGTATGAGAGTTTTCTGTAACCCACCTATGAGCACATCAATAAAAACAAACTTATCAATGAATATATTCCCCTCAGCTCTGTGAAATATTCTTTAACACTGTTTCTTGTTCTTGGATCTGTGAAACTGCACATTAGTTTGAATGAAAAAAAATAATTTGGCTGACAGGGAGAAATTAAATTCTTGACAGTTCATGCATGTAGATAAGACATGTACATGTATAATCGATTGACTTTTGTAAGAAAAACCAACAACGTTTATTCATCGGGCAATGTGTAGGGGCAGGTATAAGATATGCCATAGTAGTTTTCCTGAGGTAATATCCTTGAAGTAGTTGTTCAAGGGGCTTTAGTCCAGGAGGTAGTTTCCTTAGAGTCTAACTGGTTATTTATCATTACATTTAACAAATACTTATATTTTTACTCATAAATTTGGCATGAAATAAACAAAAAGTTAATTCTGACTTTCTTCATTGCTACCAGAAACTTCTTTCTTTTGGAAAAACAAATAGTCTACAACAGCAAAGATATAGCCAACATGCTGTTCATATTGACCCTTCACTGATTTAAAACCTGAAGACTTACTCCTGAAAGGTGTTTTAGAAGCTTGTTGATCCGCTATACTCTGCTTCCTACTGGCTGGTTCAGCAGTCATAAAACTTTGGTCTGAAGAGCTAGAGTACTGTGATTCTGAAGATGCCAGATTCTCAGGGTTAAAGGTCGTGTCGACATCGCTGTCACTGCTGAAACCTGTGATGTCATGTCTGGAGGTGGATTTCGATTCTAGTACAAAATAGACGACAAATAAAGAGTAGGAAACAATATGATATGGCTATTATCAGTCAACTTTGACATGCTTATAATTGTTTAGAATGAAAAACAGAAATAAACATAATATGTACAAAAGCTATAATCAACTTCAGCTTCAAAATATCCATGCCGAAATTCTTTCACTACCCAGCTAAATAACAAATGCAAAAATATTTCACTACCCTGCTTACGTGCTAAACTATGAACATAATATCATGCTGCATAATACAGTGTGACATAAAATCATGTGACACGATAAATTTGTCAACTACTAATTTACCATAATTAATGCATTAACCTAGGTAGTACAATCCACGTCAAAGCAGATTCTTCTTGACTGACTGATGTATTATGTCATGAACTAGGTTTGGACTGGTTTACAAAGAGATTAACCATAACAGTGCACAAGGCTCAAATTAATTTTTTGTCCACGGGGGCTCTTCCAAAAAAAAAAGAGCCCCCGTGAGCTCTCTCACGGGGGCTCTTTTAGTACCGACGGGGGCTCTTTTTTAATACAAATTTTCATTGAATTGGTACCCATGAAACTCCTAAATTCCTTGGTATTTTATCATTATCATTTATTTAAGTCGGCATTTTCCCTCTTAGAAATGTACTTGTTACATAGCTGTTATTGACTTTTATCTCCGTAATGACATTCTCTCCATTTCTTCCCGCTCTGCACATAATGTCCTCCTCATTATTTGGAGCAACCTTATTTACATTCTTTCTTTACTTTTGGTTTTTACCATATCCTTCCAAAACACAGGGGCAGATCTAGCTTTTTGCTAAGGATGGGGGGGGGGGGGTAACCCAGATACGATGTGGAGCATCGTCCACGAGCCGCGTAGCGGCGAGGCGATTTTTGTTGTTGCTATTTTGAACTCCCGTAATTGATGTGTTCCTGGCATCTACTAACATGCGGAGCATCGTCGACGAGCCGCAAAGCGGCGAGGCGATTTTTTGGCGCTATTTTGAACCCCCGTTAGTGATGTTTTCCTGGCATCTACTAACATGCGGAGCATCGTCGACGAGCCGCAAAGCGGCGAGGCGATTTTTTGGCGCTATTTTGAACCCCCGTTAGTGATGTTTTCCTGGCATCTACTGACATCTACTAATACTGTGTAGGTCTGGACACAATGACACATGATAGCATTTTTCTATGCACAACACATTTTCACTCGGCAGCCCAAGGGGGAGGGGGGGGGGGTGGTTAAACCCCTAAACCGCCTAAATCCGCCCCTGCAACATCTTTGGTGATCTTCTTCTCAATATTGATTTACTGGTCAAGTTACATTATTTGCTGATCTTTTAGAATAACCAGATTTCAGAGGATTCACACTTTTCACAACGAAAAATTTCTCCATGTTTCAGTCCTTGCGCGATCGTCTCCAGCTCCAGCATATATTGGGCGTCAGCGTGCACACCGGTACTACCGGCGCAGTATAGCCATTGCTGACGGCCGCACTACAGCTGCACTGCGAGCTCTGTTGTTTGTATCGGTAATACTCATAGAGATGGGAGAGAAAGCGCCATCTAATTAGTTCCATTTTATTGGTTTAAGGTTTGAAAATTGATACTCAATATTGTGTTAAAGTTATATCAGAAAAGATAATCTTTATTTTATAATTCCACGGGGGCGATTTTTAATTTTGCAATCGCCCTCGTGAACCATCTGACGGGGCGATTGTGGGGCTCACGGGGGCGAATCGCCCACCGCCCCCGTGTATTTTGAGCGTTGACAGTGCATAATCCATGGGGTAGGCCTACATAAATGAAATGAAGACAAAACATACAAGCTACATACTTATGGTTTGGCCAACTCTATCTTGAATGGCAGGCACTTTGAGGGGCGAGGCAATAGACAGGGATGCAGCGCTGCTACTCTGGATCAGACCCTGCGTCAACATATAGGGGTTATTCGAGGCACTGATCTTTTGCTGCTGAATGTGTGTTTGGATCTGAAGGAGAATCCTGTGGTTGATCTGATTGTAGTCCTTGTACTGGGAGGCTCGGTAGATGAGAAGTAAGAGACCAAGGCAGCAGAAGATCTTCCGACACCACCAGGTGTTGGCGTGAAACACGGTCTGGATATTGAAAACACAGAAAAAAAACCTTGATATTTTTAGTGCTAAGTGCCATGTGCACCTGTTCTACACTTGTGTGTGTGTGAATACGTTCCCTTTTAGGACACAACACTTATCAAGTAAAGCAGTAAAATTCGTAAATTGCAGACTTGCTTCTCATCCAAAATTCATAAAGGGGTGTTATATACTTGTAAGGCTAAGGGCACCATTGTCGTGGTGACTACATATACACAAAAATATTTAATTTCATCATGTGTTTTAAAGGCTTGACCTTAATTTTTCTCCCTCACAAAAACAGCAAAATATGAACCATCAATGCTGTACATAGTTGCTCTCTATTCAAACAGGATTAATTACCTAGTTACCTATCACACCCCTAAAAATCATCTTTAATCTTTCTCAAGTATCCTTGGGACTTCAGGACCCTTCATGAGAACCTACCTGATCACTGGAATCGATGATGCGAAACATGACCGACTCGATGAACCAATTCACTAAAAGCAGGAGAAAGAGTGAGAATCTTGCGGAGGCCGTACGAGGTGTGGCTGTCACCATGTACACTAGGAGCACCACCACCACAAAGTATATCACAGAGTTGAACCATGTGAACTCTCCTAGCATCAACCTCTGGACCTGTGCCACTCGGTCAAAGGTCTCGGCAAACAAGGCTTTCTGCTCCAGAGTGCTGCTTTTCATCTCTGCAAACACCTGTGGTTAACATTAAAGATGACTTTTCAAAATACCGAACAAAATATATATCCATGTATTTTTAACACAGTGAGACACACATGTATTTTTTATATACAATGTACAAATTAATTTTCAACATAATTTTTAGATATTTTTAATACATTTATATAAATATTCAATTCAACGTACATGTACTTCATATTATTGTACCTTCCATGATGAAGAATTTCAATTATTCTGATGAGGCAAAATACACAATACTATCACTTGCTTAAACATTCCTTATAAATGCTCCGCTGTGTATAAGTTCCAGATTTGACACTGTGCAGAATACCAAATGTTATATGTTCAACAATGACTAAAAAAAAAAAACTCTTGCATAAATCTCACAATTGACGACAGCTGCCCCCCACCCAAACAAAACAAAAAAATAAATAAAACAAAAATCAGTACAGAAATGTGGTACCTCATGGATACTATTGGTTGAGCTCTTCAATGCTTGATTGAGTTTTGCTTCTTGTGCTAGGATCTCTTGTTGGTTCTTCAAGCTCTCATTCTGCTGTTTGATCATGTCTTCCTGTAGCCTGCCTGTCACCTCAAGCTGAACAGCCACATCCTCAGAGCTCTGGGCTAGCTTCTCAACGGTGTCCTCTGTCTGCTGGTGCCAAACCTGAGAGATGTAAGACATTTAATAACCAGTATTATTCATTAAGAACAGTGTGGACTGGTTCTTCAAGCTCTCATTCTGCTATTTGATCATATCTTCCTGTAGCCTGCCTGTCACCTCAAGCTGAACAGCTACATCCTCAGAGCTCTGGGCTAGCTTCTCAACGGTCTCCTCGGTCTACAGGTGCCAAACCTGAGGGATGTAAAGACATTTAATATCCAGTATCATTCATTAACAACAGTGTGGACTGGTTCTTCAAGCTCTCATTCTGCTGTTTGATCATGTCTTCCTGTAGCCTGCCTGTCACCTCAAGCTGAACAGCCACATCCTCAGAGCTCTGGGCTAGCTTCTCAACGGTGTCCTCTGTCTGCTGGTGCCAAACCTGAGAGATGTAAGACATTTAATAACCAGTATTATTCATTAAGAACAGTGTGGACTGGTTCTTCAAGCTCTCATTCTGCTGTTTGATCATATCTTCCTGTAGTCTGCCTGTCACCTCAAGCTGAACAGCCACATCCTCAGAGCTCTGGGCTAGCTTCTCAACGGTCTCCCCGGTCTGCTGGTGCCAAACCCGAGAGATTTAATATCCAATATCATTCATTAAAGCCCCTCTGCACTAGTTTGGCCAGGAGGGATTAGACCTCCCTGCAAGGTCAGTGACAGGTGGTTATTTCATCAAATCAGCTCTCAATTAACATAAGAAAAAGGGGATCATGGGGGACCAATGGTCACCAGTTATATTAGGCATTGTTTGCTATATAGAAGGCACAAGTAGCTATAAGTAGTGCAGTGGGACATTAAGAACAGTGTGGATATTGGTAGACTTATTAACTTTTACTGTGGTTCTGGTTTTTAAAAAAGGTAAAGCTACACTTCATTCAGTATTTGCAAACAACAAATTTAAAGTACAATTTTAACAAAAAAATCCAATGCAGTTTGACCTGAAATCTTCTATACCTTTGGAGATCATAAAAAACAAAGGATAGCATTTGCAGATGTCTGCAATATCTGAAAATGTTGCAGATGAATGACATCATAAACTCAGCAACTTCCCATATTATCATTACTATTTCAACTGCTTTATTAATCCCAAAACTTTCAGAAAGCTATATTGTTGGAGCTTATCAACACTAAAGGCAAATATTTACTAACATATCATTTATACAGCAATATTAAACTGATCACAAATTGGCAATACTATCTACTGAGAAATAAGTGTCCATCAGATGGAAACAAGGGGCATACTGTCTCTCTCCTTGTACTTCGTAGTAATTCAATTGATCAAATAAGCACTCGCAAACATGAAAATAACAGTAATCAATCATGTACCTGACTCTGAAGAAAAAAGCAGATATCTTGTGTGTGGGTGAAGAACTCAGTGTAAGCATTGAATGAGATGCTGTCCCCTTTCATAGGGTTCAAACAGTCTCTGATGTCCATTGTGTCATCACATGGGTACGTATCAAAGCCAGCCTTGGCAAGGTGACAGTTGGCCAGTGTCAAGGCCATACGACTCTGCTCATCATCTGTCAGCCTTTTACAGCCTATCAACAAAAGAAGCAATGAGATATCATGAATTATGATCAAAAGATCAATCAAAGAGACAGATATCAAGTCAAACAATTTGCTTCTGTACGACTAAAACATATCAATCTGATGACAGGAAATTAATTCCCTAGCATCATCTCTTTGGCCGACTCTCTTTCTCTTGACAAAAATATGTTGAAGGTCAATTAGGTTCTATGACACATGTAGCAACAACTTATCTGCGGTCAATGTCCTATACAAGCTCAAGTTCTTACCTCAACTCTTAACCAATGCTATACCTAGCCCTAAATCCTAATCCTATAGAATACCTAACCTAAAAATCTATTGCCCAGAGTCCAAGACCAAATGTCGCTGTAACAAATGTCAGGTCACTGTCACTTGAATATCATAGTTTTGCACAAGGCACAGCTTGTTTGGACCCTGAAATATGAATTTGTGAATGATGTAGGAGAGAGAGAGAGAGAGCTCTCACCTGTAGATACAGCCTCCAAGGCGTTGATCCAGCAACTTCCATATTTAGGATGCCTGCTGTCACGTTGAATACTCATGACCTGTGTCTGACCCGCCTCATAGTTTCCCATAACAGTGCCCTCCTTCAGGTTAAGATGAACCCCTCCTCCAGCTCTGTCATCATGGTGATTAGTGTCTTCTGACCCCTGCTCTACCTTGGTGGTCTGGGAGTAAGAACCCAGACATAGCACCAATAGTATATGGAGAGAGCCTTTGATGATGGTTGTATGGTGTCTTCTAGGAGGCATTTTATTCACTTGCACAGGAATCACAGTCTGGAAATAAAGAGGGGAAATGATCATGAAACCATAATTCAAATCATTGTTTCTGTGTGGTATTAATGAGCACAGGCACTCTGAAAAAAATTCTGTTCATTTGTTAAGGAAGTAAACAAACTACAAAGTATTTAGAAGACTACATCTAAAGAAGTTCTGTCACTAGTATATAAAGTAGTAGACTCTATGTGAGTCACTCAGTAAAAGCTTCAAATTTAGTTTGGGCAATTCTTTATTTACCACCTGTCATTATATGTCATGCTCAATTTAAAATCGTCTGTATGATAATTAAGCCAATAAGTGATCGTCTGTACTATAGTGACTCAGTAACTAGACCTAGACAGAAATAACCGTCTGATATCATTTCTTTAAGAAAACTGAAATTTGTTGACATCAGAGGAGCCAGATGCAATCTCAGTGGAACAACCGTCGATATCAGAGACTGAAGCTTTCGGTCTACTCGGTAACATAGAATAGATTAGACCGAAAGCTTCAGTCTCTCTAATCGTCGGTTGTTCCACTGAGACTACGTCTGGCTCCACTAGACCTCCGATTATAGAGACTGAAGTCTGGGGACCTCTTTCTGTGAGGCACTGTACGGAACAAATGGTTCGGTTCGACCGGACCGCGATGAATGAGATATGCAACGAGATTTTCACTCTTTACATCCTCATAACTGCTGCAATTATAACACAAATTAAAAAAACATATATATAGCTTATTTGACTTAAGATAGCTTGCTCATTTAGATCCTAAATTAATGATTAATCCGAGAAAGTCTCGTAGTCAACATTATCCGTCTTGGTGTTAGTTGATGAATATTCATTTTTTCTTTTCGAACGTCCAATAGCTACCGTAGCTACGTACGAGTAAGCCCAGCTTGATGACCAACGAACTCCCACGAAACGAGTGCTCTGATTGGCCATTTGGCTATGTTTTGGTAGGTTGACCCGGAAATATTTTGCCGCCGGGTCATATAGCCCTATGTTCCGAGTGCATGAACGTTCGGAGATACAAATTGGATAATTCATATAAGTAAGTCCGTAAATTATCCATTTAATATTGAGTTATCAAATTTTGATAACTGTAATTAGGACAAATGACATACCGACCTAATTTACATCTGATTTAGAAATCAGGAAATTAGATCTAAATAAAGAAAATCGGGGAGAAAATGTCGTGGACGAAAATATGCACATATAGGCCTATAGCCATCCCCACGGTACGAGATCTCTGGGTTGCCATCTGTATTGGGGAATGACAACAAATGTCAGTTTTATTAAAGAAATGACCCAAATCAGATGGTTATTGCTGTCTAAGAATAGACCTAGATCTACATTGCCTCAGATCCTGAAACAAAATCCTGGATTTTGCTCATACTGCAAGCAAGTTTGCAATCATTCATGTTTTGTAACACAGGCTTTTAGGTCAGTCAGTGCTATGCCCTATACAAAAAACTTTAATTATTATTATTATTGTTTTCATTTTAGTTATAAACATTGCGGCCTGGCGGAGGCAAGCTGATCACGACTCACGGCAATCCCTAGACCGAATTTTCCGTCTCTTTCGTTCGTTAGCCTCTTATTGGGGTAGGGTCGGCTCTCTCTTTATAGACGGAAACCGTCTATACACATTCCCTTGATAACGCCACGGCCATTTCAGGTCGTAGCGTTTTGCCCCCAAAATCCCCCAAAATGTCATTTTACCTCGTGCATATCCACATGTAAATTAGGCCTAGGCTATAATACATCGGTTCCACTTAACAACTTGACTGAAATAATCAGTTTAATAGTCCCTTTTTAGGAAATTTGGATCAAAATCGAAATCCATTTTGAAAATCTTTTTCAACATGGATTTCGATTTTGACCCATAAATTCCTAAAAGGGACTATCAAACTGATTATTTCAGTCAAGTTGGTAAGTGGAACTGATTTATTATAGCCTAGGTCTAGGCCTAATTTACAATATAAGTAGGGTCTATAACATGCACGAGGTAAAATGACATTTTGGGGGATTTTGGGGGCAAAACGCTACGACCTGAAAAGGCC